GCTAAGCATGCTCTTTATCACTTGAGCTACACTCTCCCCCTACTTCAGTTTTTTTTTTTTTTAATTCAGAAAGGTCAACATCTAATACCAGGATAGGTGAGAGCATGTTTCTTCCCAGGAACTAAGACATAAGGCCAGTGACTTGATTTATTCCTGCAGCTTTCCCTATTTTAATTCAAAATGGGGAGGATAGAGGAGGAGGAGACTCCTGAGGGGGCTGGTGCTGAGGCCGGCAGGGATGAGTTCATACATTTAGGACGCACATGTGTCCTGCTGTCCTGTCTCCAATGGGGTTTGGCTGAAAGGTGTTAGTGGTTCTTACAGTTTGGAGCCAGCAGAACCAACTCTGGAAAGGTTGCAGGCAGCCTCATTTTGCCCTCCAGTTAGGAGTTTGTGCCTTCCAGGCAGATTTCCCCTCTTGGTTGCAAAGTAACAGATTTCCTGACTATAATACTGAATTAAGGGAGCTCCTGGGGTGATTCTGGTGTTGGGGTGGGGGCCCCAGGGGTAGGTCCGTCTTTCTCCTAACAAGCCCTCTAACTGTGGGGAGCCAAAATTCCTTCATCTGTAAAATGGGAGTAATGCCCCTTCCTTGCCCACCTCCCGTGGCAGCTGTGAGGATGGAAGAGAGCACCTGAGAAAGGGACAGGCCGACTGCGGGCACAGGTGTCGCTGGTGGGGGATGGGAGGGAGGCCACCCCTGGCTTCATCCTTCTTCCTCTCTTTCCAGGAGTCCGCTCAGAATTTGATCAAATAGACACGTCCAACCCAAACTGTGTCGTAATTGCAGATGCAGGAGAAAGCTTTTCTTATCAAAACATGAATAAAGCTTTCCAGGTGCTCATGGAGCTGGAAAATCCTGTGCTCCTCTCACTGGGAAAAGGGTAAGTCGGCTGCAGGGAGAGTCGTTTCTGGCTCTTTGGACGATGCTGCGTGCATCTCTGACTTAGAGAATCCTCAGAGAAGATGGGAGAAGTGGGCACGGAGTGACTTCCTTTCCCTTCCCTCCCTTTTTCTTGCTTTTCCCCCCCTTCATTTCTTCATTTCTCTCTTTTGATAATTTTTGAGACTATTAGAATGCCCCATCTTCAGGAGCTGGCCCATCAAGCTTCCACATGGCTCTGAGGCTGGGAGAGGCTCTGGGGCAGGGGAGGGTCGGGAGGGTCACTGCAGAGGGGACCCCTGGGTATCTCAGGGGGCACATGCTAACTGTCCCAAGTTAGGTCCATTTCCACAGGATTCAGTACAAGGCATGGATGGATTGTGCCGAGGGGACACCTAATAGTGGAAAATAGGCTTAAGGGCTCATGGGATGCTCTCTTCCGGGCCCCACATCTGCACAGCACGGTCTCTGTAAGGTCGTGAGTTTGTGACCAACATTATTGTCTGAGTCTTTAGCCCAGACCTCACCATCTCTTTTAAAAAACCATGTTGACTATTTTCCTTAACCTCTTTTACCACCAAGACCGCACACGTTCATTGGAGAAAAATTAGAAAATACAGATGAACAAAAAGAAAAAAAACAAAAAGAATGTTCAGTCCCACCACCCGAGAAAACAGCTGTCATCGTTTTGGTGTATGTTCTCCGCGGCTCCCTGTGCAGGTGGATCATCACGGATGGGTGTGTTCGCAACAGCAGTGTCTTTGCCTGTTTTTAACTGTTCACCAAATAATATTTTGTAAATGTTTTTCTATACAATAAGTAGATATCTCTGCAGCAAGGTTATTCCTATAATTCTTTTTTAACAGTCTCTCCTGTAGCTTTTTAACTGATGCCTACTAATGGACACTTAGGTTGTTTCTGATTTTCTACCAAAGTGAGGCTGTGATCAGCATCTTCGTGCATTTCGGATAATGTGTATTATTGAGGTTCTGGACACATGTTGCCAAGTTGCTTTCCAGAAAGCTGAGCAGATTTATTCTGTTCTCAATGGAAGCAGTACTAGGATTTTAGAATCATAGGCTCTAAGGATGGTTGCAAGGATACTGGGGTCCCACTCCAGCTTCTGGTGCGGGGCAAGAATTCTGTGGTCATCTCTGAGGAAGCGTTTCCCGGCTTAGGTGCTCCTGGTGACTGGGAGCTTCCTACCTCTGTCTGCTGAACACGGTGGCTGTTCCACTAAACACGAGAGGGACTTTATCTGGCCACCAGCCATTGCTAAGCACTTTATGTAGTTCACGGTGTTTACTTCTGACCACAGCACCATGAGCTGTAGGCAGTATCACTGCCATTTTACAGATGGGGCATACTGAGGCATAGGGAGGTGAAGTAAACCGTGGTTCTGTCATCAGTAAATGCCAGCAGAGCCAGAGTGCCACCCAGAGCCTGTGCTGTGTCACCTCTAGGCAACATTCAAGAGCAGATATTTGGCCCACACAAGATCTTAAATTTTTTTTGAGCCTGTTTTAAAAATTGGGAGATTTTACATAAAGTAACAAAATTTCTGGATTCTTCTGAAAAATCAGAAGATCTGGCAGCACTGGCCCCACATTCCCGAGCACACCACAGCTTGGCTGGAGCCACAGCCTCCATTGGTCTTGGTTCACCACAGACCCCACCACCTCCTGTCACCCCTTCTCCAAGCTTCAGAGTCGATTGCCATTCGTCTTGTTTGTCTTTCTCACAGTAGAGGAATATTTTTTCATGGTTATGTCTGTTTCAAAATAGGCAAACGAGAGAGATTTCAAGAAAGGAAAGAGGAGAAATATTTCTTTTAGGAACTACAAACATTCTAGTGTGTTTGTCATGTAAATGAGAAGTGTCCTGTATTAGTCAGTGTTCTCCAGAGAAACAGAACCAGTAGGATGTGGAGGTACATATATGTACAGTCCCTGACTTAGTGATGGTTCAAGTTAGGATTTTTTGACTTTATGATAGTGTGAAAGCTATGCATGTGCAGTGAAAACCATACTTTGAATTTTGAATTTTGATCTTTTCCTGGATGCAGTAAATACCCTCTTGTGATACTGGGCAGTGGTGGAGAGCCCAGTCAGCCACGCGATCGTGAGGGTGAACAACTGATACACTTAAAATTGTTCTGTTCCCGTATTTAATAAATTACATGAGATCATGAATGTTTTATTCTAAAATAGATTTTGTGTTAGATGATTCTGCCTAATTGTAGGCGAATGTAAGTGATCACATTTAAGGTAGGCTGGGCTAAGCTGTGGTATTTGGTAGGTAAGGTTTATTAATTGCATTTTTTACTTATATTTTCAACTTACGATAGGTTTATCAGGATGTAACCCAATCATAAGTTGAGGAAGATCTGTATATAAAGAGAATTTGATTATGGAGGTTAAGTATATCCAAAATCTGCAGGGTAGGCTGGCACGCTGGAGACTTAGGGAAGAGTAGCAGTCTGAATCCCAAGGCTGTCTGCTGGCAGATTCCTTCTTGCTCGGAGAGGTTAGACTTTGTTCCAGTCTGGCCTTCAGCTGATTGGATGAGGCCCACCACATTATGGAGAGCAATCTGCTTTACTCAAAGTCCACTGATTTAAATGTTAATCTCATCTAAGAAACATCTTCACAGAAGCATCCAGAGTACTGTTAGACCAATATCTGGGTAGCTTGGCCCAGCCAAGTTGACATAAAATTAACTGTCACTGTCCCTTTCTAACCTAACAACCTTCTGCAGTTTATGTCCCTATCAACCAGAGAACCTGGCCTGCTTAACCCTTTTACGCTCCTGGCTATGCTCTATGTCCTGTTTGCATCCCTAAAGTTACCAGCCTGTCACTAGAGAACAACACATTTAAGAAGCTCTGCTATAATTCATTTCTGTTAAAACTTTTTTCTTAAAATTGTCTCTAATTATTAAAAGCTATAATTCCAGATTATGGATAGCAATCAAAATAGGTATGTTGAAAAAGAAAAAAATATGGAATCGGTTTCTTTTAGCTTTGTGATTCTGCAGTAAATTCAATAGTAAGGCAAGGGTTTGTTTTCCAAGTAAGCAACTAGTGGAGCGTCTAGCTGGTGGGGCTTCTGGCTTCGGCTATAGGTTGGGTGATCAAACAATCAGAGAAAGGAACCAACAGCTTTCAGGCTTGGGTTATAGCTTCTTGGGACAGCCCAAGGATCCACGAAGAGTTGCTGTCACATCGGAGTGGGGGTTGCCAATGGTGAGGGGCTGTCCTCCGCCACAGCAGGGCTGCGTGGTGCCCCCAAGGAGGCAGGATGGCGGAGGCGCTGGGGCAGAATGTCCTCCTCCTGGAAACGAAGTGATTTACATTTGGCATCTGTTTGGACCGAGAGTGGGAATTGCCTTTGTAATTTCTTCTGTCATGCCGCTGTCAGAAAATTAAGCTGTTTACGCGACAGACTATGGAAGGTTAATGGCTCTTGTGGGAAAGGTCAAGTGGTCATTTTTAAGGGAGGCTGTGCTGAATAATCGGAAGGGCAGAAGAATAACGCATAAAATCTATCTGACTGCTCCCCAGCTTTTCCCTGTCTTTCCAGAATCCACAGTTTCTTCTCTGTGGCTGGAACACTCCATTCTTGCCAGGCCTGCTGTTTCTTTTAGTACACCAGTAAAAAAAGATAAATATATCAAATCTCTTGTGTTCCAAGAGTAGCTTGGGTCTTTATATTTAAAAAAATTGATTAGGTACTTGTATTTACTGTATCTCTGAAAATGTTTACAGCTAACAGATGGCCTTCAAGATGACTTTTTGTTTTCCTGAATGAGTAAGAAATAAAGACAAATTCTGGGCACTATAAAAACAAGCCCAGATACAGTTAAAAAAGAAATATTGAGATTTCTAATTTTGATTTACGGAAGTCAATTTTTTCTTTAGGGTCAAAAAATTAGTGTAACAAAGACAAGGGTATTTTTGGGGGGGTGTATGTATATTTTTATTGAAGTATAGTCATTTTACAATGTTGTGTCCAAAGACAGGGTTTTGATTGGGTACTTTTAGCGGCCCGTTGAGTGTTTCCTTCCCATCAGGACTAAACTGAAACCTAAGAAAGTGCAGGTTTCTGACACTGTGGAAGGAAGACCTGGAGGAGGAGGAGATGGGCAGAAGCAGTGCCGTGGGGGTGTCCTCGGGAGGCCTTTCCTGGGGGAGGTGCACCAGCTCCTGCCTCCTCCAGCCGTCTCGGAGCTGAGGCCGCGCTGGGCCAGAGGCCCGTAGAATCCTCAGTTCCAAACAGAGCTGTGCGTGTTGCAACAGAGCGGCCTTGTTTTATAATTTTTTCTTTGGCGCCTGAGTAAGCCTCTGCTATGCCGGCCGCATTCTTTCCTCGCCTTGGTCCTCCGTGCCTGGCTCACATGCCCTGTCCTCAGAGAGGCCCTCCCCACACCCCCTCCCATTGCCCCCTTGTGAGGAGGGTGGCTCTCAGCACCTGGAGGAGCATCTGGTCCGAGGGTCCCCAGCAGGGTGCCGGTTCCGAGAGGCTCCCGGGCCTGGACTCTTCTATTCCTCCCCCTTTACCTTCCCTCTCAGCCTTGATGTTTCCTTCTCTAGGAGGCCTCCCTGCCTCCCCGTCCCCAGCATGTCCAGCCTCCTCAGTCAGAGTGCGCAGAGCACAGGGTCCCCCTTACCACTGCCCACATCCTGCCATTTTGTGTTTGTCTGTGGACTTGCCTGCTTCCCCACCAGACCAGGTGTCCCTGGGGAGCAGGCTGGGTCTGAGAGTGTCCCCTGCAAAGGGCTGTCGGACAGCTGTGTCCTGAATGTTTGAAGGACTGAGTTCACGGATGCTAGCTGCAGCACCGCGAGCACAGACCCCAGCACCCAGCATCTCCCTCTGCCTCTTGGCCAGATTTTGCTTTACTTGGCCTTTCCTTCTGACTCTGGACCTCGCTGAGGAAATATCATACCAAAGCAATTTATGGTAGAAATGAGAAAAATGAGAGGAAACACTTTTTTGAGGCTATATAAATGCAAAATAGATGTCTGAATTCCAGATTTAAGACAAATGCAGGTAGGGACCTCAAAGCCTGTGTTTTGGGATCACTTTTTAAAAAGGGGCACATTTGCAGGTCCTGGCTCAGTAAGCAGTGTTAGTTCTCGTGGCTTCCTGAAAGTGTGCGGTGTCCCAGCTGGGCCTCTGGGGTGCAGAGCCTCGGACCCTGCCCGAGAGGCCTGGGGTGCACTTGGAGACCGAGTCCTATCGTGATGGGAGATGCCCCCATGGCTTCAGCAAACGGGCTGTAATCCACCTGACACGGGTGAGTGGCAGGGGACCAGCCCTTGCCGAGGCCAGGGGTTTGGCTGAAGCCTTGCAGCCTAGCTGAAGCTACTGAGGCCGGCAGGGGAGAATGCAAGTCAGGAGAGCCCCTGTCCACCTGAGCGCCGGGTAAATGCCGCGGACGGTGAGGCTCCTGCATCCTGGAAGGCTTCAGCCGGGTGCAGAGAGGGACAGGCAGGGCTAGAGGAAGGGCACAGCCCTGGGGCAGCTTCCAGGAGCTCAGTTCTGCCATTTCCAGTAGGCACAGAACAGGTTTCAGCCCCCACAAATTGGAAAGACCCTGTTCGTTCTTTCTCCCCCGGCTCCTGTCTTACTGCTCGTCTCAGTCTGGGTGAACAGGTGTCTATAACAATTTTCCCTGACATTTTTGGAGCAGTTTCTGCATTCCAGGGATCACGTTAAGAACTTTGCCTGTATTAGTTTGCTCAAGCCTCACAACGTATGAGGTAGATACTGGAGTTTCTTTTTGCCCATTTTACAGAGTAGAAAACTGAGGCCCAGAGGGCTTAAGCAGCCCAGAGTCCCACAGTTAAAAAGAAGTGGAAAGTCAAAGTGCTTCACTTTGCTTCTCTTTGGTTCTCCACATACGTGTTGTTTAATGTCTCCCAAACTCGAAGGTCGTGCACCTGATGTGATGGGTCTCACAACATTTTAACAGTCCTGGGTTTCCCTTAACCCCTGTCTTCACAGCAGCACAGAGTAAACTACCTTCCCTCCACTTTGTAGTCAGATGGCTTTGCTCAGAGGGAACTGGGCTTGGTCCACCATGTGTCCTGAGAAGCCTGTGTGTGACCTGGGGTGGGCGAGGCAGTGGCAGCTGGACCTCAGCACAGCGCTCGCAAGAGTGAAGACGTGAAACCGTCTTCAGAAGGCAAGCTCCTGTGAGCCAAGCTCTCTTGGCCTCCAGTGAGGCAGGAAGAAATGGCTGTCTTCTCCTAGAAGCATCTGGGCCCTGACTCCTGGGTAACAGGAGATGCAGCAGGGGGCTGTGGAACTAATGGAGTTTTCTTCTCCAGGCAGCATGAGGGGTTAATTATTAGCAATTAGGGGTTCGCCACATGCTCTGTGGACCTGCTGTCCTTTCCCAGAACACAGATCACTTGTGTTTCTCTTTGTTAGCACCCAGCTGCCCCGTTAGTCAGTGCGGCGGGGTCCCCACGAAGCTGGCAGCAGAGGCCGTTCTGATTGCGAGCTGCTGGCCTCCGCCTCTCCCACCCGGGCGCCGGGTGTGGTGATCACCGCTGGGCTCTGTCCTGCTGACCTCCGTCTGTCATTCTCAGCGTGGTGTTTCAACTGACCGTCACCCTCTCTTGAGCCGACAAAACCAGGACAGGGCAGTTTCTCTGGGCACTTCCTAGGCCTCTGGGCTCATTTCACCTTGTCCTCTTCTCTTTTCTAGACGCTACTACAAGGAGACCTCTGGCCTGTTGCTGGACGTTGGTCCCTACATGAAGGCGCTTGAGGTACCTGCCCTGGGTCTGTCCACACCCTCTTCAGATCTCAGGGCCGACTGGGATGTTTCTGGTCTTTCTGGAGAAGGGGGTGTGCTCAATGTTCAAACTGCCTTTTATGTTTTCAGAATAGACCCCCCTGTTTGAGGCTTCAAGCCTGGCACCCCCATCCTCTGGAGCTTGGCCCTCGGTCGCCCTGGTCATCACTCTGTTCCCCCTACTGCACCACCTGCTGCTGACCCCACTGGCCCTCCCCGCCCACTCTCTGCCACTCTCCTCTCGGATTCTTGGCTTTGTGTCTGTGCAAACCACCTGCCTCATTCCTGACCCTGCTTGTCTGCAGCACCTCGAGCTCAGTGTATCCCAACTGGACTCTTTCCCAACTCCCTTCTCCAGTTTCCAAGGCAAGGCTCAGATGGGGCTCCTGCTCTGACCTGTGCCCGGTCAGCTGCCCCAGCCCGGGCTCCTGCCCAGGTCAGCTCGTATCACCGCCCGTCCTCACTGCTACATTGGCTCCTGCCTATGTGCACTCAGGTGGGAGGGATGGACAGGCTGCAAATGGGGCCCTGGACTTTTTCCCTGGAGGACCTTTGACAGAGGTGGGAGTGGGCAGGGGGAGAAAGGAGGGGAGAAGCAGGAATGCAGGTGAGAGCATGGTCGGGGTGGCCCGCTGTGGACCGCCTCCTGGCGAGCTCAGGCACATGGCAGGGCGCCTGGTGGTGGGTGCTCTGAGCACCCTGGGCAGCCCGATGTAGAGTTGTGACACTTGCTTGCAAAGCGATCTCTCAGCCCCGTCTGTCTTGCCCTTTGGAGGCCTGTGGCCCATGGGTGCACACATGGGGCAGGATTTCCCTGCAGCTCAGGTGGTTCATTCACCTGTTAACTTGTTCCCAACCATCACGTCCTTTTCTCTTTTCGCAGTATGCCTGTGGTATCGAAGCGGAGGTGGTGGGGAAGCCTTCTCCCGAGTTTTTCAAGTCTGCCCTGCAAGAGATGGGAGTGGAGGCCCACCAGGTAGGATGACTCCCCACGAAGTGTGTGTGCAGAGGCAGCTGTCGGGGGAGACCCAGAGTGCTCACCCCGGGGCCGCTCCATGCCTGAGATGGGTTTGAGGTTGGCCGGGCAGCCCAGTTGGGACCTTCCCCCGCCACCCGCCATGAGATCTGATTAGACTGGAAAGGGGGAAAAAAGACAGCAAAGGAGGCCCACTGAATGGTTTCAACCTGTTAAATTAGCTTCAGGAGAAGAGTGAGAAACAGAAATACCCGTGGCTTTTCCTAAGTGACTTTTGCTGCTTCTCTGGAAGGATGATAGACAGGTTCCATCAGCACATTAAAAGTATTTCATTGGAAAGACAATATACAGCAAGATTTAAAGACTAGGCAAGAATAAAATCATGCATCTTGTCACCTTTGCATTAGAACTATTTTTTGAGACAGGTTGCTTTCCAAACATGTATCTTAAAAGGAAGGAAAAAGCAGTTACGATTTTAGTATCCACAGTGCCCACCCTCACACCTCCCCTTCCCAGGTAGTGTGAGTTGGTCCCTTCCAGCCGATGGGTTCTTGACAGTATTGTTGAAGAAACAATGGGCATATGTCTGCAGGCGGCCAGGGCTGCCCTGCTGTCTGGTTTGGACACATGCTGTGGCAAGGCTGGTACCCCCAGGATCACCGTGGTGCTCCTGTATTGTTGGACTCGAATTTCCCACATGTGTTCTGGTCTAGGGCATCGATTTCTCATGATGCTTAGAGAAAGACAGCCCACAGCCACAAAGTCTGGAACCTCTGGACCCAAACCTCCCCTGAGATTCACAGATGTCAGAAAATTTAGGTCTTGTGGCTCCCCAAGAAACCCCCGGGAAATGCCCTGTGAGGCTGGTAGAGAAGGAGAGGCTTATGTTTTGAATGAGTGAAGCCTGCAGGGATAGAAACCTGGTTTTCACGCCTGCATTTCATAGTGACAACATTTATAATTTGTTTTACTGTGACAAACTTCAAACATACACAAAAGCAGAGAGAAGGATACGGTGATTCTCCCCGTACATCTGTCACCCAGACTCAACAATGAAAAGACTTTGTCATATTCCCTTCTTCTGTCCCTTTTCTTTTTAAAAATTTACTTGTTTTTTTTTTTGCTGTTGTATTTTAAAGCAAACCTCGTACTTTAATGTTATCCTATCCTTTCAAATTATAGTATGCCTTTCAAAAAATGGTGGTTGTTTTTGACCTAATTACAATGCATTAAGACACCTGACAGTGGCCAACAAACACACAAAAAAGATGTTCAGCGTCATCAGTGCTTAGGGAAATACAAGTCAAAACCACAGTGAGGTCCCACCTCACACCCACTTGGATGGCCATAATTTTAAAAGGAAAATGAGAAACGTTGGCAAGGATGTGGAGAAATTGGAACCCTCGTATAGGAATACTGGCAGGAATGTACAGTGGAGCACCCACTATGAAAAACAGCCACTGTGGAAAACGGTTCCATGGTGGGTTAATAAATGAAACATAGAATTACCATCTGACCCAACAATTCCACTCTTAGGTGTCTATCCAAAAGGAGTGAAAGCAGGTGTTCAAACAAAAACTTATACATGAATATTCATAGCAGCACTGTTCACAATCACCAAAAGGTGGAAATAATGCAAATGTTCATCTGCAAATGAATGGATGAACAAAATGCGGTTTATTGTCACAAAAGAATATTTCAGCTATAAAAAGAATGCAATACTGATAAATGCTACAGTGTGGATGAACCTTGGAAACATTACGGTAAGTAAAAGGAACCAGTCACAAAAGGCCACATTTTAATATATTTAACATTTGTGCGAAATGTTCAGAAGAGGCCAATCCATAGAGACATAAAACGGATTGGTGGTTGCTGGGGGCTGGGAATGTGGGGGAGTGGGGAGTGCCTGCCGATGGGTGTGAGGTCTCCTTTTCAGGGGATGAAAATGGGAAGTAAACGGTGGTGACGGTTGCACAACATTGTGGACGTACTTCGTGCCACTGATTGTACACTTCAAAATGGTTATGTTGGTAAATTTTATCACATTGAAAAAACCCCACCTTACAAAATCAATGGTGATTCCTTAGTGTTATCTAATGTCAGTCCTTATTTAAATTTCCCTGGCTGTCTCAGAAATATTTTTTTACTCTGATTTTTCTTTTTTGAATCAGATCCAGAAAGGTTTATACCTTACATGCGGTGGTTTTGTCTCTTTAAACATTTCTTTTTAACTTTTTTTTTAAGGCAGTTCTGGGGATTGAACTCAGGATGTCGTGCCTGCTAATAAGCATGTGCTCTACCACTGAGCTACACCCTCCCTGCTTCTTTTTAACTTTTTATCGTGGAACGTTTCAAATACCTGAGCAAACTGAGAGAGTAACAGGTACCCACAACTGAGCTTCAGTAATCATCAGTCAGCCCTTTTAATAATCGTTTTTAACCGTTCACTCTAAAGCAATTTCATATGTACAAAGAGGTTGCAAAAACAGTACAGAGAATTCCCACGTGCCTTTACCCCCAGCCTCTTCAAATGCTAACATCTTATGTAACAATCGCAGAATAATTATAAAATCAGGACATTAGCCTTGAAACGGAGTTGACTAACCCAGGGACCCCCACGCTGGTTTAGTGTCACGCCCCCTAGTGCCTTTTACTCTGAGCAGTTCCTCGGTCTGTCTTCGTCTTTTAGGACCATGGCATTTTTGAAGAGTCCCGGCTGGTTCTTTTGTAGAATGTCCCTCATGTTTCCTCATGATGTAATTTTAGGTTATGCATTTCTGGCACATTTAATCCTGCTTATGCATTTCCCAGACA